CATCCTTGAACCTGAGCTATGCTCCTGGGCTTCATGGCATCGAGCTCATGAAGGTTGTTCGGTATTGCGATAAACTTCAACGCTTGTGGGTACGATCATCCGACCTTTCTTCTATGATATAAACCTTTATATGTATATGATGAATGATGAGAATTGTTCTGGGTGATGGATTCTTGACAGATTCTGGATGGTATTGGTGACAAAGGACTGGAAGTTGTTGCTTCAACTTGTAAAGAATTGCAGGAACTGAGGGTGTTCCCATCCGACCTCTCTGGGGCTGGTAATGTTGCGGTCACGGAAGAAGGATTGGTCGCTATATCGATGGGTTGCCCGAAACTTCATTCGATATTATACTTCTGCCATCAGATGACGAATGCTGCCCTTGTAGCTGTAGCAAAGAACAACCCGAACTTCATACGCTTCAGGTTGTGCATCCTCGACCCCACAAAACCAGACCCTGTAACTGGGCATGCACTGGATGAAGGTTTTGGGGCGATTGTTCAAGCGTGCAAAGGTCTGAGACGTTTATCTCTCTCGGGCCATCTTACTGATCGGGTCTTCTATTATATCGGTAAATACGCAAAGCATCTTGAAATGCTTTCGTTAGCGTTTGCTGGGGACAGTGATAAGGGAATGATTCACATACTGAATGGTTGCAAGAAGCTTCGCAAGCTCGAGATCATGGACAGCCCGTTTGGCGACATGGCACTTCTGCAGGACGTCGGGAAGTATGAAACAATGCGATCCCTTTGGATGTCCTCCTGCGAGATTACTCTTGGTGGCTGCAAGACGCTAGCGAAGAAGATGCCGAGGCTGAACGTGGAGATCATCAACGAGAACGATCTGTTGGAATTATGCCGTGACGACGAGCAGAAAGTAGGGAAAATGTATCTGTACCGTACATTAGTAGGGCCAAGGAAAGATGCACCCAAGTTTGTATGGACATTGTAGATTGAAGATACTTCTTTCTTTCCAAGGCGCTTTTGAATTACTTGTACCTTTCTGTTTTTAGGGCAACTGACCAGTGGGATTTTTATTTAGCTACTACGTGAGTTTAGTGTATTTTGGTGTTTATTGTAATTATTGGGAGTTTTTCAATTTGTAAGCTGCATTGATGTTATAGCCAGACTTCTTTGCAATTCCACTTCTCATTTCTCAAATGCTTCTTCAATCTCTCTTTCTATTGCTCTGCTTCCTACCCCAATTCCGACGATTGGTCGGGCCGAGTGAATCAGTTAACTTCAAAGGAGATTTGTTGTGCCAAAAGTGTGTTATGACTTGTGGTCGTTTTCCTGCCTAGTAGGGCGGCTCGTCCATTGTGGATAAATGGGAAACTAGACTCTACAAACTCGTGGTAAGGCTGCATAGTAGGAGCGTTAAAGATTGGAGCTTTTTGTAGTGTTAGCAATAATGCAAGTGAACGAATCTCATCCTCTATCAAGTTAAGTGCTTACGCCCCTTTAGAGACAAGGAGAGGGGCGAGTAAAAGAGCTCGTTCTTCCATTTTTGATATTATATTCTAAACGCTCCCGCCTTACCACTAGTATAATATAGCAAAAGCTACCGGCTTCAAAGTTGACCTGATTATTAGTGAAAATGGCATTCCATTCCATGACGATCAAAATTTTGGATCTCCAACCTTTGGAAATACATGTTATCGATCAAATTGGTTGTTCTCAAATTTAGAAGAATTCTAGTATTAGTATCCGTGGATCCAATTCCAAAAAGTGTATGATTGTGGTCAAAGTTCAAAAAGAGAAAAAAAAAAATGAAGCTTCATTCAACCATATACATAGCTCGTATGTATATTTTTTTTCCAATTACGACTCTAGCTAACTTGACTCTATTCTAAGCCAAGTCCTAATACTCAACCTTGCCTCTACGCCGAGATTCTTCCAATGCAACCTCACATTTCCATTTATCCAAAAAAGGAACAAAAATAAAATTAAAAAAAGGATGGAGGATTAAACCAAGTTCCAAATAGCATATTCTCCACAGAAACTTTGCATAAAAATCTCAAAGAAAGTTGAATCTGGATGACAACGATAAATAAGGATTCCAAGTCTACAAGTATTAACAATTATTTGTTCAGGTATATATATATAAGTAAATAACAGCATTTAGATATCACAAACAATACAGATAGTTTACGATCACACAAACCAGAAACTGCAGTTCTTATTCCAAGTGATGCGAAACACAGGCGTCGTCGATTCATAATAATAGAAGACATGAACACAGCTCGGCCGAAGAGACCGAAAAAAACACACGGTCTATCGGAAGCAGGCCAAACACTCCTCCAACATACAACAACAACACAGTGTAGCTAAGCTGCACAAGACAACAAGTTTAAGGTTACACTCATAATCAAAAGATATTCTCCCTTGAATCCATATTTGGTACTAAAAGCTAAAAGAAGCCCCAGGAAGGATCTTATGATGTACTTGTGGCCATGGTTATTTCACACATCTTAGACATTCGACATTCGATTTCTCTGGTGTCGAAGATTACTAGTTTACGTACTCATTCGAACCTAATCTTTCAGCATCCATAGGAGGAAAATGGCATAAGCTTAGGTAAATGCTAAAACATAACCAATTGCAAGAAGGCAAGTCCCCAACAAGAAAAGAGATCAAACAAGAAAACATGTCGAACGAGATCGGGCTTGTTTCGCTATTTCACGCACAAGAACGTTAAAACAGCGACGAACATGGATGAGAAAAAAACAAAGCAAAACATGAAAAGAGACGGTCCAATTCAACAGTTTAACCAAAGCTATAAAACATAATTAGAGGAAGAAAGGATTGGATCATAAGGTAGCATTAATGGGGAAGCATCAGATGCTCTGTGCACCAATTGAAAATTCTGCTTAGTTCATGATAACAAGAACAAAGATGATTGTTATTGGTTCGAGATAGCTCCTTGTATCGAGTGTTTTCAAAATTCAAGTCAAGTTTTGAGAACTCAAACGTTTTTTTAAATAAGCACGATTTTAAAAAATGGAAAACCAAATAGTTATCAAGCGGACGAGCCTATTGCGAGATGAAATTGTTCGAGACGGATGGAACAATGTGGCTGACAATTCTACATTCAGCAAAATTTTTAAAATGTAATTCAAATTGAAAGAAGATCAAGAAACAACTTCGATGTTTAAACAGCTTGATCATAACATTCATTGAAAATCCAAATCCACATCCAAATTGAATTCCTGATTTCCAAATCCAAATAAATCCACAAAACATTCATTGCACAAGAACAATCAATTTTCACAACACAGAATCAATCGATCAATAAATCAACGAGATCACGAAGACAAGCAAACAAATCAAAATCGTGTCAACACGAATCGAAGAAATGGAGGAAAACGTACCATCCATGAAGGAAAGAGGAACAGTCATTTCGATCATCGTAATGATAGTGCTGATGACAATAAGGCGGTGGAGGAGGGCCCGGCGGAGGAGGAGGAGGCGGCGCCGATGGAGAATATCCATCGTAGAAATAACCTTGATATCCTTGATGTGGCGGCGGAGGCAGCGGCTGATGGCCGGGATATCCAGGCTGCGGCGGACGGTACCCTACGGAAGAGAAGAAAAAAATGAGATGAAATGAAAATGGAAAATCAGAAGAAGAAGAATAAGAAGAAGAAGCGGATCTCACCGGGAGGAGGGTAGGTTTCCGGCGGAGGATGTTGGTAGCCGTAGGGGTAATTCATAATTCTTCTGAAATGGAGAAAAATGGAGAAAAATGGAGATGAGGAAGAAGAAGACGATATAAATGATGAGCGAATCGGCTGTCTGCCTTTGTCTACTTAACGTGGTGGGTCTCTATCCTCTTTGTTGTAACTGTAAGCATTTATAACTTTGGATATTTACACAACATACCCAATCACAAAACTTTTAAATAATTGCACATCGCTCCAAACTAGGTCCCTCAATTATATTAAAATTGTAAGTTAAGCCCTTCCACCTTTAACAATTAAGTATTAATTAAATATTAGGTTAGATATAAAATTAAAATTTTTAATTATGTTTATGAGAAATTTATAAATATTAAAAAATCTGAAGGAAAGGATTTTTTTTAATCAAATTTAAGAGCTTGTCTTCAGTCCCGAGGTCTTTAAAGAAGAGAAGAAACCTAGCAACTCGATCAAGATAAAATAATAGAATTTTGTAAGGCCGCCATAGATTTAACGATTTAACTCAAAAGATAAAATAATTATATATTTATTAGGAACGTTTAAAAAATTAAAAAACAATGCTTGATATTTTTGTCAAATCTATAAAATTTAAAATTTAAACTTATTAAATCTCTATGGTTTATATCTCCAAACACCATCTTTCAAAAACATTTTTGGATAAAATGTGCCCTTATTTTAATTTCTACATTTACAAAAAATTCAATTAACATTAAATATTAATAGTTATTTTTCTTTCTCTTTGGTTAATTGCAAATTTATTAAGTTTATTAATTTTTAAAAATTAACATAATATACTAAAAGTCACTACGTCAATTTTATGTTTAAATTAATATTATAAGTAAATACGATCATTTGTTTTTTTGGGGACAATTTATAAGGTAATGTACCATATGAATTTATAGAAAAAGGAATTAAAAAAAAAAGTGTCGACGGTCACCGACGATGAAATTGAGTATAAATTTCACATTGTTAGCATGAATTTAAGGAGGAATTGATTGCTGAAAAGTTGAACACTAAACCACACGAATGTCGTCCCATTGTTAAGTTGAACCCTAAACCACACGAATGTCGTCCCATTGTTAAGAAATCGTCATCGGAAGAGGCAACGGGGAATTGTCATCACACCAATCCAACGGTCTCAACAGGGAATCAAATGAGGGGCAAGACAATAACAAGGACGGGAACCGATCATACTATTTAACGGGGAATTGGACGAGGGGAAAAATAGGAACGGGAAGTCATCATTGACCGCCCCGAGAACGATCCCCCCTCAGATTTGTCCAGAACGAACACAAGGCAAAGAAAATGGGAATCAGAATCATGTCTAAGAAAGAAGAAACAAGTGAGTAATATGATGAACAAATCCGACTTGACTTAAAAACAAACAGCTCAACTACTGGACCATGTGTTTAACTGACTCTCGTGCGTGTCTATAATTAGCTCTGTTTCCTCCGGCTCTACTACTCATTAGGGATGGATGAACAAAAACTATCAACTCAAAAAGTTTCTGTACCTTTGTGCTAACCCAACAAATATATCAACCAAACATATCCTCAATTTGGGTGGCGGATCAAAAGTAAAACACAGCTAAGAACTACTTCACGGTCAGCGATTAACGCTTCTTCTTGCTTCCTTTTGCAGCAGATTTCGATGGGCTGGCCACAAGATAGACGAACAGAACGACAAAGGAGACCACCGAGATCAGGGAGCCATACTTAGCGAGCAGCCTCTGCAGGGAGGAAAAAAGAATCTTGTGTGAATAAAAAGACAGACATTCATTCTATTTTCATATACAACTTAAGTTTTATAGAAGAATTGAGAGCACGGAATGGATCGTACCTTAACCTGTTGAAATTACGCCCCGGTGAAAGATAAATTCCATGCAAAGGCAAAAAGATTGTTACAGTAAACCAAATTGAAAAGAATGCATCATTAAGCTTGAAGTGGGGAAAAAAATAAGGGATGAACTTACCCACTCAAACTTCTTCTCTGGTGGCCTATCAGCGAGGACATCCAAAGGTAGAATTGGGGTTGATAAGGCCTCCTACAGCAATCAAGAAGAACACGGTAAAACGACTGGAACCTTACGTAACCAGACTAAAATCATTGTTGAAAGGATATTTGACCTGTAAAGCAGACTTCGTAGGGACACGGAACGTGATAACAGCAGGTGAACCATGGAACATTCCTTTTGTTTTTGCTTCTAATTCAAATGAATGAGATAAATGACCACCACTGTCAAACAGCAGATTTGTGTGTTAGTGGCACGAAAACCCAATGGAGGGTACCATGGCATATACGAAGGAATACTAAACAAATCATATCACTTACGCATCGAGTCTTTCCCACGATTTGGATGTCTCGCCACTGACAATATCAAAGACATCTCCTGGCCAGCTTGCATCGTTCAGAGTAACATCATATGCGGTCCTGTAATCGTTACAAGCGAAAATACCAAAAAGAGGGTGAAAATTAGAAACCAGGATACTTAGAAATGAAAACATATAAAAGGCAACAGAGCAACGGGATAAAAGAAAAGATTCCCTCAAATCAGGGATTAAAAGATAGGAAACATGTCAAAAAAACATCTCGGGAATCCCCTTCCAAGCTTCTCATGATTTGTATCATGCAAGACAAGTAGATAATTCTGCTACTTTGATCTAGACAGTTTCTAATACCAGTTAATGCTCATCACACACACACAGCCCTCCTCTCACCACGGCTACCGTTTATAAACAAATAAAATTACATCAAATTGTAAAATTTCGACAAAATATCACTGGAAGAACAGTTTATATCTTCCCGTTGCAGGGCAAATGTAGCAGCCCTAATGAACCAATTTTTAATGTGAAACAAGAACTAGGCACTAACTCCTGGAATGGCAACGAATATCATGGCTGATCGAATATTCTGACTGTCAATGTAGTAATCATAAAAAAACGTGACCAGTTCAACCCTTTTGCGAAATTTGCATAGAAAATCCAAAATACAGAATTTATTGATGCAGCTGGGAGAGCTACGCCTGGTTCCAGTTCATAATAGCATTCAAGATCTTTGTGTCAAACCAAGAACCAAGACATTACGAACTTTTTCCACAATTCATAAAATAAAAATGCACCAAATTTCACAGCCATGAAAGCATCTAATCTTCTATCATTGGGAACATTTTCCTGACGAATGAATCTAACATTTATATCCCCGAGACGACAGCTTAAAACCAATCACATGAACAGAAGGAAGCGAATAAAAAAAAAAAAAAGAACAAAGTACAAACAAAACCAATTTAGATCCAGAACAAAAAATATGAATCAAACCACGCATGCGCAAAGAACGATTCGATCTACATCTCAGAGGCCACTTGATGAGTAAAGCTCAATCCAGAAAACAAAAGCGAAATCAGATTAAACGAATTAAACAGAACATACGAAGATCCCTGATTGTAAATTTCGATTGAGACCGAGACGCGTTCGACGCCGGATTTGAGACGAGTGAGCGTCGCCTTCTTGTGCGCGACAATGAACGGGACATCGGAGCTTGCGATCGTTGACGAGACGAACAGAAAAGCCAGGAGGAGATGGATCAGACGAGCCTGAATCAGATTCGCCATGAAATCGTCGGGATTAGGGCCACAGAGAAAGATGATCGGCGGAGACGAACTGGGACTTTGAGAAGAAGGAGCCGTCGGATAAAATAGGTACGCAAAAGTGTGGAACAATCAGAGAACATATGATGATCTTTTAGAACCCCACGAAATTTCAACAGGGGTAACCTAGTCATTTCCCTCAAGTTGAGAACTCCACAAATTTTAACAGGGGTAACCTAGTCATTTCGCTCAAGAGGAAGCTGATATTGTCCCTATAAAATATATTTTTGTTTCTTTTTTTGTTTTTTCAATCGTTATTTATAGGAATATATATATATATATTTGTTTGCTTTACATATATTTATTAAAATTTTATTTAAGTCTATAATTATTTTTCTCTTAATTATTCTTTAATTACTTTTAAATTAAATTTAAAATCGTTTGAAATGTAATTTTTTAAAATATATATTGAAATTAAGTTATAAATCTAAATTCTTATAAATATATATGGTAATTTGTTTCAGTTTTGATTCGAACTCGTGCCCATTGACTATAGAAAGTAAAATTGGCAGTTTTCTTCAAAGTAATAGGTAACCCATGTGAACAATAGAGCTTGATTCCATTACCAAATCGATACCATTTTCGATGCTATTTTTAAATTCAACTAATTACCAACTAGCACACAAAATTATTTATTTACTTTTTTTTTATATATATATATAAATAATACTAATAATTCATTTTAATTTATTATAAATTCACAAGACAGTTAGGATATTTGATTCCGATCACTTGGGCCTCAATGTAATGGGCCGATTTGTCGGCCCAAACAAGACAGGCCCTTCAAATCCCCTGGGCCGATTTGTCGGCCCAAACAAGACAGGCCCTTTCAAATCCCCAAATCAATAAGAATGTCCAATTAAACCAATAAGATATTAGTCTAAATTTTCTAATTTATTTAATTTTTGTTTCTAAACTTCAAAATGAAAATTTTAATATTAAATTTTTTTTAATTGCCTAGTATATAAAGTTTAAATGTGTATATTAATTAATTGATTAGTGAATTAATATATATATACTTTTTAAAATATTATATAAAAATTTGGAGAAAATAAAATATGAATTATTAATTTAGTTTGGTTTGATTAAAGATACAAATGAACCAACATTCCGGACCCACAGATCCTAAGAGTAAGTAATCCATCGTCGTTTTGATTCCCAATGTATCCGTTAAGATTTCGGAATTGATCAACTCCTCATGGAACCCCACCGCCAGCTGTCCACCACAAATATTTGTTTATTACCTCTCCACCTTATTTTAATTATAACATTAAATATTCGCCCATATGTTCACCCACTTTAAAATTTATATTTAAAAATTTTACCATTTATTAATTTATTAGATATAAATTTAAATTTATAGTTTTAAAAGTTTAGTAATCAAATAAATATAATTTAATTTAATTTTTGAACTTTTCATATGATCAAATATTGGGTTTATATTATAAAAATATTTAAAAATAAAAATCTAAAATTGCATTGAGTTATGCTCCCCTTGAAATTCGAAATAATAAAAAATGATTTGACAAAGCAATCTCTTGTCTGGTTACATCTTTCATGACTATTCTTTTCATCCTCTTATAAGTGAACAGACATTGTCATCATGTGTCCATCAAATCCCATGTTAAATTTTTTTAAAAAGTTATTGTCATAGACCACGCATGTTCGAGTCCGTAGTGATAATTATCCCATGAAGACTCGCTTTCACTACTACATCGAAGGATTCCTTTATCTAAGTGTAACAACTTAAGTCTACCGCTAACAAATATTGTCCTGTTTGACTTTCTCTTTTAAACTTTCTCCCTAAGTTTTACAATGCCTATGATAAGAAGAAGTTTCCACACTTTTATAAGAATGATTTGTTCTTCTCTACAATTTATGTGAAGATTTTACAATTTGAAATATCTTGGCAGACACGTTTTAAGACCTCAAAAAAAAAAAAAAAATTTAAATGTCAATATCAACTAACGATGGGGTTGAACTGTTACATTAAGCCAATACATATGAGTCATCTTCCATGTGGTCAAAATCTTGAGATTATGATTTTAGGTTCTGTCCCATCATTTTAGCTCTCAATTTTCGTTTATATTCTAATAAATTTATAATGTAAAGATAGTTTTGAAAAGTAATATTATAATTTTAAAACAAATGATAAAGTTTGAGTTTTTTATTTTTTTTATTTTTTTATTTTATTTAAGCAATCAATTTGGTTGTATTTAAATAGTGATAATAAAATATATTTTTTTTGAAAAAAACAACAAATTTGAAGATAAGGGTCTCATCTCTATCAATATGATCAGATCACAAGTTGGGTTAATGAATATATATACAGTAATTGTTTTAACTTTAAAATTGAAATTAAAGAAAAAATATATATTTTTTAGAACATAGTGTATTTAGTCTTAATTACTATATATATATTTGGATAAGTTATTTATAAGGTTTATGGGGATAAATAAATGATATTTGATTAAAAATATACTCAATTCAATTTTATAAATAGGAGAGTATTAAATTAATACAATTACTTATTTACTAAAATTATCGGATAATTAGTTAATAATATTTAAAAATTATCTAATAAAGTAATCGGATGAGTTAAATCACATAAAAAATTAAAATTTCAATAAGCATTAGTAAGATAATAATTTTAAAACAGTAATCGGATAATAATAATTTAAAATTATCTAATAAAGTAATCGGACGAGTTAAATCGGATGAGTTAAATACTAATTCTTATACAGAAAATACTCAATTAAAATATATTTTCAAAATTTATAGGGGAAATAATAATAATTTTTTAAAAAATAAATTATATTTTAATAACATTTACAGGAAAATTTAAAGTCAATGGTAGAAGCATAAATAATTTTGGCGCCCAGAAGGGGGGTTTCCAGTCGGCTCCTTGGGCAACGGGGCGTCTTCTACGTCTTCGCCATGTGAGATATGTCTCGGCCTCTGGACCTTCCTATTCCCAGATTCTCTCTCTTTCTGTGCATTTGATTCTTATCAGATCCTCCTTTCTAATGCCCCCAGGAACCTTCTCACCTCTCGATCCTCTCTGTAACCAGTAAGTCATTTCTGTTTCTCTGACACTGTTTTTAATTTTTTTTTTGTCTATTCAACTTGTGATCCTATCTGTTTTTTCGCATTAATTTTTGAATCTGTCTGCTTAATCATTCATTCCACTGCCAACGATTTTCTTCTCTTTTGTAATTTTTTAAGCTATTTCTTCTATTGTTGTACTGCTATTCGTCTGCTTCTTGGCCCCTTTTCTGTCTACTTTAGAGATTACATTCGTAGTTCATGCCCATGATGAAACCACCTCCTGGTTTTGATGTTTAATGCCTTCTACGATGGTCAACTCTTGTAATCTGTTTAAATGGAGCTGTAAATCGATGTGGAGTTCCTTTGTTTTTGTGTAGGATGTTAAGATTGGGGCAATTTCCCACTAAGAAGAAGACCAATGGGTTGCACTTCTTCTGTTTACGCTGTTGGGAGGAAGAAGAAACTGAGCATCCCCGAGATGGTTATGTTTGTTCCTTCCATGCGAATTCCTGTGCAATCTGATCTTCAGAGACCTCTTAGAGGGCTTATTTCTAAAGATCTTGCTGATAGACTGTCTTCACTTCGTAATCAGATTGTGTTGGTGGCTGAGGATACTGGTTTGATTCTGCCCTTTTTGATTCTACTGCGTAAATTCTTGTTTAGGCGTTAATCATTTTAGACATTCCAGATTTTTGTTTTTGTTCTTTTTAAACATGATTTGATTTGGAACTCCCAGAAGACGCGTTTTAAAACCTTGAGGGGAAGTCCAAAAGGGAAAGCCTAAAAAGGATAATATCTGCTAGCGGTGGGCTTGGAGCTGTTACAAATGGTATCAAAGTCAAATACCGGGCAGTGTGCCAGTGAGGACGCTGGACCCCCAAGTGGGGTGGATTGTGAGATCTTACATCGGTTGGAGAGGGGAACGAAACATTCCTTGTAAGGGTGTGGAAATCTCTTCCTAAAAGACACGTTTTAAAACCTTGAGGGAAAGCCCAAAAGAGAAATCTCAAATAGGATAATATTTGCTAGCGATAGGCTTGGGCTATTACAAATGGTACTAGAGCCAAACACGGGGCGGTTTGGTCCCCAAGAGTGGTGGATTGTGAGATCCCATATCGGTTGGAGAGGGGAACAAAGTATTCCTTATAATGGTGTAGAAATCACTTCCTAGAAGACGCGTTTTAAAACCTTGAGGGAAGCCTAAAAGAGAAAGCCCAACGAGGATAATATCTGCTTGCGGCGAGCTTGGGTTGTTACAGTTATAGAGTCAAATGATTGTTCGGTGATAACCGAAATGAGTTTAAGCTAGTATGAACACTCACATGTTCACAAATATGAGAAAAAAATATTTGTTTTGGAATGAAATGAAAACTCGTTTTGCAGGTGGATCTGCTATTACAGAATTGCGGCGAGTTCTGGAGGAGTATCTATCTGTTTTGATTTGTCTAACAAAGAAGGGTATCTTCATCTCGTCCTACAGTTATACTCTGTTTCTCTCTTTTATGGATGACAGTTCCAATTTTATGCAGAAACCATAGATGATGGACTAATAGAGTTCAAATGGAGAAATTTAGAACATGGACGACAAGTAAGACTGGCTTCTCCATTCATACATTATATTGTTTACTTATATAAAATCTGCAGTCATGTAATTGAGCTTCAAACAACAAACATGGTGGGCAGGAAATATGTGTAGCAAACTTCTGGTTTGAATTGCTATCTGTTCTTCACTTAATGGCCATGCTGACTCTATCAGAAGCTGACTCCTTGATGATCCCCAAGGATCCCACTGGTTCTGGTTTGAGAGTAGTGTCCTCAGGTCATATTTACTGGCCTATTTTTCAATACTTTCCTTCTCGAAACTGAAAATAAGCGTAGATTCAGAGATTCTCGAATAGCTCAACCTTTCAAATGGCTGCTGAATCCATGGGCAGTCAAGAGACAAGTTCCACGGTCTACCTATTCAACTAAACATATCTTAACTTTCAGATTGCAAGAGGGAGGCCATTGATTTACTTCTTAAAGCCTCGGGGTATCTCGATTGCTGCATCCGGGATATTCTGGTCCACATTCCATTTGATATTAAGTATGCAAGCTTCAACCGTTTTAAACCTTTCCTAGTAGACTTGTGCTGAAGTATCATTGTCTGACATTTTCTACCCATGTTTCCTAGGAAGCGATTGCCTAAAAGTTTTCAGCCTGGTGCGCTTGAAGCCATGTCAATTCAAACTTTGGGTCAGGTACAATGTTGTTGTCGCCCTATTGATACGAAGTGGACGTGTCTGTCTCGAGTTTTCAACCTGCAAGTTATCTCTATTATACTTCTTACTAGGCTTTATGGCTTCTTAGTATCTATAACTAACTTCGGGTATCTGTTTATAATCAGGGAACTGAAATTCAACTTGGTTTAGCCGTTGAAAGTCAGAATGCCACCTTATCTGTTAAAAGGAGATTGGCTTGTGAGCAGTTGGTCTATTTCAGCCAGGTTTGAGTTATTTTCTTTCTCCCATTTGAATTCTGTGGGGATAGACTGAATCTGTTTGGTTAAGATTGTAAGCACGGCCTAACAAAAAGTCGAATCCACCCACTCACCCACCAATAAGAGGGAATGTGCGAGATCCTACATCCATTGGAAAAGAGAACGAAGCATTCTTTATAAGGGTGTGGAAACCTCTTCCTAGCAGATAAGTTTTACAATTGTGAGGCTGACGGTGGTACGTAATGGGCCAAAGCGAATAATATCTATTAGCGGTGGGCTTGGGCTGTTGCAAATGATATCAAAGCCAGACACTGGACGATGTGTCAGCGAGAACGCTAGGGCTCTAAGAGGGGTAGATTGTGAGATCCCACCTCGGTTGGAGAGGAGAAAGAAACATTCCTTATAAGGGTGTGGAAACCTCTCCCTAGCAGACGCGTTTTAAAATCGTGAGACTAACAGCGGTACATAACGTGCCAAAGCAGATAATATCTATTAGTGGTGGGCTTAGGCTGTTACGTAACACCTACCCATAATTTAATATTCTATTTAATATTCTACTAGTTAACAACTAAACGTAGTAAGATACTGTCCTAACACTTCTATAAGTCTAGTGAACGTAGGTGATGTTTCTCTTGAAGACATCTTTTCCCACAAATGAAGAACATTGCCTTACTTTTGCTGCCATATCAATCTCCCTAGTTTTGCTTTTCCTTGGAGTTTGATGAGTTGAGTCTCTTGTTCATCAGGCTTACCAATGCTTATCAGAATGCGACACGGATCGAGGATACGAAAAGAAGCACATGTCATTCATCAAATGGAAATTTCTTGAATCCAAGGTTTTCCCATAGCTGTTAAGCGTTGTTTCTGCATTTCTCAAACATCTTTATATAAGTTTCAAACATGTCATTTTATCAGGCTGCAGCTTACTACTACCACGGTCTGATCCTCGACAAGGGTTCGGAACCGTCGTGTCATGTCAGTGCCGTGTGCTGTTTCCTTGCTGCAGAAGAGCTTCTTCTTGAAAGCAAGAGAGCCTGCTTGAGCTTCTGTCTTGCATCTCCTGTCACCAGGTTAGTGATGAGCCTAATTCAATCAGTTCAAAACTTGAATCCTCAGCTTTCTTCATGTTCTTTGCTTTCATTTCTGGCAAGATCTCCTCCACTTTGGGGAGCCATGAAGCATTTACATCAGAAAATCCCAGAAGTTGCTTCTAGGAAGTCTCAAATGTATGGATATCTGTTGGAACAAGAAAAGTAAGACTAAAATAGTGTTTTTATGTGTATATGTAAACATGAATTTGAACGTAAAGTAATTGAAATTTGATGAACTGTCACAAACAGGGCCCTTCAAGCATTACCTGAATTACCAGAATTTCAGCTGTCGTTAAGGCCAGAGGAATATCAGCTGCCTGAGATTGATTCTTCAGCTTGGAGCTCTGAACATTGTGAAGCACAGAGTCAGACCTTGAAGGAACACCTCAATGATAGTGATTATGAGACTTTGTCTGAATGACTTTTAATCTCGTGTTAAATTTTATTCTTTTTCTGTAAGCTAAAATATATGAATATCACTGATCGCATACTTGGAAAATCTAATTTGAGGTATACACGGGTTGAGTTGAGAAATTTTTTTGGATCAATTTTATATTTTGGGCTGGTGACCCGGGCAACTCAAATAGAGCTCATAACTGTGAGATCCCACTTTAGTTGGAGAAGAGAACGAAACAGGGCTCTTCGAGCAAGGAGGCATCCTGGTAGGAAGGCCGACTTCTTTATATGAGTGTCGAAACTTTTTCCTAACATACACATTTTAAAATCGTGGGTTGATAGCGATACGTAACGGACTAAAACGAATAATATTTGACAGTGGTAAGCTTCAGCTATTCCAATAACCCAACTTAATTTTCTATTTTCAAGTTGGGTTTGATTGTCGGGTTGTCTTTTTATTATATATATATATATATTTAAAAACATATTTATCTTCTATATTTGTTAACCGGTCACAATACATCACTAATATTGGTAGCAATACGCTCACAGATTCAAGTTTGTTCATCAATATTTTCAATTTATTCTCAGCCAAATGTCCCTTTGCCACATAATGGGAATGAGACGATAATATTACATTAAACTGAACACCACTAATTAAATCATTATCGTTTTGACATAATATATATTCAAATTTGTACAAATTAAAAAAAAAAAAAAATCAAATTTTAGGGATTTAACTATTTAATATTTGAAGGTTGAATTTATAAGTTAACCTAGTTTTTAAAAATTAATTTAATCATGCATCCCTAGGTTACCCTTTTAACAAATTTAAAAATTTAAATTATAGTATTTCAAAATATTTATTATAGTAGTGACCAAATTGTACCGAGACATCAACCACGTGATGATTATTAAAATAATTCCTTTTATAATATTTAAATAAAGATGGGAATATTTTAATTTTCAAGATTACAATTAAATTTATATAATATTTGTGAATCGTTGCATGTTTCGTAACATGGCAAATTCCACCATTTATGGAAAAAATATATAATTTCTTTCTGCGATTTATTACCGTTATACCCTTCAACTTTTAACGTTATTACAAAAATAAATTTAAAAGTTGGGGCAAATTGAAATTTAAACTTTTTTTTTTTTTTTAAATACCAGGAGACGCCCAAAAAACAAAAAACACGTTTGATTCGTTTTTCATATTAGTATTGAAGAGTCGAGAGAGAAAGCCTTCACAGACTAAGGTTAGCTATTCATTCCATTGATAACGCGTGCGATGATTGATATAGGGTCAGTGTGTCGGTTTCCATATCATAGAGAGGGTTTTTCTATAGTCGGGAATATACTTGCTTGGTATCCAAATTTACTCGAGAAAGAATTTCTTCAGTGGATGTCAAGTCAGTTCGAAAACCAATCCCCACACGAACATAAACAAAGAGAATGTGTTGTTTTTTAATTTGTATAAAATATGGTGGAAGATAGAGATAAAATTAAAAACTTATCACATGTCTTGCTTCAATTAAATAGAGAAAGAGACGAATCTGATGGAGGAATGATGTTTGATTCTTGCAAATATTGCGAAATTGTGGGGCTTCTGGAGAAATAATGCTTGTAGAGCCCTTTTAATGCAAAATGTCATTGTATAAGTACTAAATTGAAAAAAGTCCATATTTTCCCAACTCTAAAATAGTATTAATTAATATATTTATTTTATATTTAAAAACAATATATAAATTTAACAATATTATATATATATATATATATATATATATATATTGTAAAATATGTAAATAATAAAAAAATATTTAAAATATGAAAGTTAAATATTACAGGTATCTCATCTCAAAATAAGTAATTATAAATGCTATAAAAGACAAATAATTAATTTGAATATAATCGATAAGAATATTGACCTAAAAAAAATTAGCACTATTTTTAATTAATTATTTGTCCTTATTATTATTAAGAGACAAATAATTAATTAAAATTTCACGTCTTGATGTCTGATTGCTATCAAAAATAAATTTCCAATTTTAAAATAATTATTTATTTAGTTATAATTTAAAATTTGTATAAATAATGTTTCGTTCTCCGTTCTGACTGAGGTAGGTAATTTTCAAGTCATATCATCGAGAATTTGTGTCATGTGAGCAGCTAAATCATAACTGTAATTAATAGAGAGGAAACTATGGATCGAGTCATTGTGCAACAAATCACCAACTAGTTTGCTATAAAGAGGTAGATGTTGATTTTGTTGGATGATGAAAGTCCCACGTCCGCTAATTTAGGGAATGATCATGAGTTTATAAACAAAGAATACTCTCTCCATTAGTACGAGACATTTTAGGGAAGCTCAAAGCAAAGTAATGAGAGCTTATGCTCAAACTCGACAATATCATATCAATATAAATATTAAATTTGGTCTTTATTTAGTGGGATATTACCGTTATTTAAGATTAAATTTTTATATAGTTTATTTATTTGATGATAAATAAATTAAAACATCTAAAATTTAAAGCATGTGATTATTAATAAATAAAAATTAAATTAAAATTGAATGGATTAGTTGACAAATTGAGCGCATAAAGGAAGCAATAGAGGTGCGTCACAGAGTAGTAAACTCTCCTATTTTCCAATTCCGGAATTGCCGACCATTCCGTAGCCACCGGCCACCACATAGCCATCCTCATGTCTGAACTCAAGTAGTCCAACGGCCAATTTTCAACAAACACCTACTGCTAACTCCCCACAGTACTCTGTACTTCCACACTCCGCCACCGCTCCGCCGCAGTTGTCGCCATCGCCACTTTCCGGTCACCGTAGATCCTCTTTTAACTTTTACCACGTCTCCCCCACATTTTCTCCATTCAACTTGCTATTTTGATTCTGTTATTCCCACTGTCTTTGACAATTGACGCCTCTCATTCCATTTTTGGGGCGGGAAACTTGCTAAGTTTGTTTCATCTCCATGGCCGCCACCGGAGCTTGTGTTTTCCATGGCGCTGTGTTCTCAGCTCTCCGGCGGGATAGGACGTGGTCCAATGGGAGTTGTAAATCCGGTTCGATGGCGATCCATAATGCTCGGCGATTTGCTGTGTCTACTACTTCCACGGACCAAGTTGTTTCGTCGTCCTCAGAGACTACTGCAACCTCGTCGGTGAGTGATTTGTTTGGTAATGGTCGGTTTGAGAAGACTTACGAACATGCTGCAACGGAGATTGTTGGAGTTGGTGCTGAGAAAGAAAGTCCGTCCAAATCGGGTTGGGAAGATACGGAGGTCCGGCGGAGCTTGAAGGATTATTTCGAACAATCGGTTGAATTGATTGGATCGGACGGTGGACCTCCTCGCTGGTTCTCGCCACTGGAATGCGGTTCTCGGATGGATAATTCTCCCTTGCTTCTGTTCTTGCCTGGTTGGTCTTCTTCTCCTGTTTGGATCGATTGTTACTTCGTTATTCGTATCACATTTTTGTGTCACGCGCCAAATCCTCTGCTCATCTCTTAGAATGACTACTTATTTTCATCGAAAAGAACGCATCGCTGATTTCTTCCTCATTTACTCTGTATAACGCCTCTGTATTTCCGGATTCTTCTGGCATTTTTGCCATTGATTATCGTTTGATCGCTTTATGATTTGAATCTGTAGGTATTGATGGCGTTGGACTTGGACTCATCAAGCATCATGAGAAGCTCGGGAAGTATGCGAAATTATTTACACTTATTGTCTTATTATCTTTCACTTTGATCAAAATTGGATTCAAACAAAGGAAACGTTCAGTAACGACTAACTTTCCGATGATTTTTATTGCCTTCATTCAAGGATTTTCGACGTATGGTGCTTGCATATTCCAGTCAGGGATCGGACGCCATTTACAGGTGATTATCAGCAAGCTTACTTTGTAATGAGGGATTTGAGTCCATGATCATCTAATTAAGCTTACTTTACTAGTTGAACTACAATGCTTCCCACTAAGTGATGGATCTATCAATTAAAAGAAAGAATCATCATCTTGGGCTATGATGATTCAAATTGAGGTGTCTCAACTAAGGTCGATTTAGGTTAAGAAATATGTATTGGTTATACTGAATTGTTTGCTGTCATAATGCGAGATTGAATGGGAAATTCTGCAATATTGGCAGATTATATTGAATTGTTTGCTGTAAATGCAGAATTAGTGAAGTTGGTCGAAAAAACAGTAAAGAATGAGCATCAATATTCACCAAAGAAACCAATATATCTTGCTGGAGAATCCTTGGGAGCATGCCTTGCTCTGTGTGTTGCTGCTCGCAATCCACATATCGACATTGTATTGATTTTGTCTAATCCTGGTAAGCTCAATGGACTATTTACTGAGTCTTTTTGCCTCTATGATTGCATGAAATGAACTTCCTGACCACCCTGACCACCCTTGTAGACTGATGTTGAACTTGAACTGCCCAAACCCACCGCTAATAGATATTGTTCACTTTGGCTCCTAGGTTTTAAAACGTGTATGTTAGGGAGGGGTTCCACGCTCTTATATAAGGAATGTTTCGTTTTCCTCTCCCTAACATATGTAACAAGCCAAAACGGACAATATTTACTAACGGTGGGCTTTGGCCGTTACATTATAGCTAAATTGGGATACTCCTTGGGATACTCCATGACCAAGAATGAACGCAGTTCTCAAAGTGAAATGCACAACATTTTGTAATTTTGTGTAATGTATGTTTCTCTTCTCTACTGAATAGTTCGTTTTTATTGTCCCCTGGCAGCTACTTGTTTCAGCAAGTCACCATTACAACCTGTAATATCTTTGTTGGAATTCATGCCAGAATCATTGCAAGTTAGCCTCCCTTACATACTGAATTTACTGAAAGGTTTTCTTTCCTTGTGATTCACGTTTTATTTTCTGTACTTATTGGTTGAAATACGTACATCATTTCCACTTGGTAAGTTGATAGTATTTTTCAGATTCTCAATTCATAATAGGATGACCATTAGCTGGGTGTTTGGTATGCCTTTAAAAGCATAAACTGCTGCTTTATATTCAAATGGATGGGAAAATTGTACTTTGAAATATAATTCTCGTGAAACTGATTTCAAAAGTTTGGTGTTAAAGAATGAGTTGAAAAGATTTCTAGTTCAAATCTGTAGAATGTAGCTTTTGGACTTCGAGGTGATCGTGTTCTGAAGGATCATGTTTAATTATTGGTATTTCGTGATGATCGTTTACGTTATAAAATAAGTGACGGCAACATATATTTTAGGTGATGCTTCTAGGCTGCCATTGGCTGATGTGGGAGTCATATTGCAGCTAATAGTTGGTGAATTGTCACAGGATCTTGCTGCTCTATCTTCTCACCTCTCTGTAAGATAAGAGCTCTATAGCAACCTGATACAAGATCATTTCTCAACATAATATTTCCATAGAAACTTATGGGATCTTCTTAAAAACGATGCTCACGCTAATGATCGATGTTACAGGTTCTTGCTGATATTTTACCAGTAGAAACACTCAACTGGAAATTTAAAATGCTTAAACATGCTTCAGCTGATTCTAACTCATGCCTCCATGCTGTAAAAGCTCAGACTCTGATACTCTGCAGGTCTATATCTTAAGTCAAAATCCTTTTATTCTAACAATAATTAAGGGAATTTTTCTCTGTATGTTGCTTAGCTTCTATGCAGCCTCCGGTTTCTTAAGGATTGGTTATTTCTTTCCATTCTGTTATCAAGCCATCCTTGCTTCACCAATTTGTTTTAGTAGCTTCAGATAATGAAGTTCAATTCTGGTATCATTTTAGAGTTTAACACTGTGAAATGAAGATAGTTAGCCATAGTATTGATGGAATTTTGGATAAGTAGCCATAGTATTGATGGAATTTTGGATAAGAAATCTCTAAGCCCACCAACCCTCACAATAATCCGTGTTTCTTCGGATATGGTTGACTTTAGTATTAGTATAATCGAGAATCGTTCTTAGCCTCTGAACAATATGCAGTGGAGAGTGTTGAGAATTGTTGGGAGAGGAGTTCCACGTTGGCTAATTAAGGGGTTGATCATGGGTTTATAAGTAAGATTCAGCTTATGCTCAAAGTGGACAATATCATACCATTATGGAGGTTCGTGGTTCCTAACAGAGAGATGATCATTATATATCTTGTAGTCGATGATTCATAGCCTCTGAACAATCTGTAGTGGAAAGATGGTCATTATATATCTTGTAGTCATGTTTTTGGGGAAGCATCCATGCCCCGGATGTTTGCTTGTGCATTGCATTCTTTGTCTAAGATTTATTATTTTGTCTTTACAGTGGCAGAGATCAGTTGCTACCCAGTATCGAGGAAGGTGGAAGACTTCATCAGTTTTTGCCAAAATGTGAGATTCGAAGATTTTCCAACAATGGCCATTTTCTTTTCTTGGTAGGACACCATTTTCCTTGTATAGAACTCAGCTTTAGATTAGTTTTTAATATTTTATGATAATTAAATAACATAATTCTGCTAGTGAATGCATGGCAGGAGGATGGTCTTGATTTGGCTGCTACAATCAGGGGTGCTGGTTTCTATCGCCGTTCACAATACGTGGATTATGTTTCGGATTTCATCCCACCATCGGCTGCTGAAGTCAGAAATATATTTGAGAAGTTTAGGTGATTACACTTCGACACAAACTTCCACAAATATTTTTCTGTCACTTATTTTCTACTCTTTGATAACGATGAGATTGCCAGTCAGTTGCTATAGTTTACTGTCTTACGTGAAGGTATTGTGATATCAAATTTGTTGGTTTTTGAGAATTTTAAGAATAATTTATGATGTTTCAGAATCTATTGCTTAATTTATGAAAATTTTTGGGACCAATCATTATAAACAAGTTTGTTTTTTTTCCTAGTTTTATAACTTTTGCAACTAGTCCCGTGCTGCTTTCAACTCTAGAAGATGGGGCAATTGTGAGGGGACTCGCAGGTATTCCTGAAGAAGGTCCTGTCCTTTTGGTTGGGTATCATATGCTATTGGGACTCGAATTGGCTCCCATGGTAGGCCAGTTCTTCAAAGAAAAGAACATAATCTTACGAGGGATGGCACATCCTATGCTATTTATGAAAATGAAGGAAGGAAGTTTACCTGACTTGGCAACCTATGATTCGTTTAGAATGATGGGGGCAGTTCCTGTCACTGCCAAGAACTTCTACAAACTTTTATCTTCCAAGGCTCACGTCTTATTATATCCCGGAGGCATGCGTGAGGCTCTACATCGAAAGGTAAGTTGACTGACAAATTGAAGGCACTGGTTTTCCCTCTCAAGTCTCATTAATAGTTTTCTTCTGTTTAGTTGACACGAATTTAATTCTCAGAATGAGTCTGTTTAACACAAAACGTATCGTTTATTTGACTCTCTTTCTATACAGGGAGAAGAATATAGGCTATTCTGGCCTGAGGAATCAGAGTTTATTCGGATGGCTGCTCGGTTTGGAGCCAAAATTGTACCTTTTGGTGTTGTGGGAGAAGATGATATTGGTGAAGTACGCTCCTCCTTCCCCATAACTTGCCATTTTCTTTAATCAACCTTCCCTTTCTTTCACTTTTCCCTACCTCGGGTCCAGAGAAGTTGATAACTTCATGTGTTTGGTCATCTATATATTCAAAGGATTTGGCCACTGTAGCTATACTAGCATACTAGCATCATTAGACCTGTAACAGTCTAAGCCTACCGCTAACATATATTGTCCACATTGGCCTGTTATGTATCATCGTCAGCCTCATAGTTTCTAAAACGCGTCTATTAGGGAGAGGTTTCCATGCCCTCATAAGGAATGCCCTTATAAGGAATGCTTAGTTCCCCTCTCCAACCAATGTGGAATCTTATAATTATTGTGAGATTCCACATCGGTTGAGGAGTAGAACAAAGCAATCTTTATGAGGGTGTGGAAACCTCTCCCTAGAAGACGCGTTTTAAAAACCTTGAGAGGAAGCTCGAAAGGGAAAGCCTAAAAATGACAATATCTGCTAGCAGTGAGCTTAGGATGTTACAATGGTATTAGAGACAGACACCGGGCGGTATGCCAGTGAGGACACTGGCTCCCAAGGGGGGTGGATCATAAGATCCCATGTCGACTACAAAGGGGAACAAAGCATTCCAAGGGTGTGAAAACCTCTCTCTAGTGAACAATATCTGCTAGCGGTGGGCTTGAACTCCAAAATGTTTGGCTCTTTCTCAATTATGTTCTCTTTTGATTTCATTTGTCATCAGGTGGTTTTTGATTATGAAGATCAGATGAAAATCCCAGTCTTGAAAAAAAGAATAGAGGAACTAACCAACGAAGCAGTGAGATTGAGGTTCATTTTGTTCTCGTCGTCTTAAACGTTCTCTCTTCGTAAACGCGTTATCACTTTTCGTGCTCGGATATTTTTCTGAACGATCTCTATTTCGACAGGGCTGATGTGCATGGCGAGGTTGCAAACCAAGATGTCCACTTCCCCGGAATTCTCCCTAAACTTCCTGGAAGATTCTACTATTACTTTGGAAAGCCATTCGAAACCGAAGGTACGTTTACGTTTACTACAAGAATTTGTTCTCTTGATGTTGTGCTTGGTTAACTTGTGACAAACACTTCAATTGCTGAACATATAAAGGGCGGAAAGAGGAGCTACGAGACAGAGAAAACGCTCACAAACTGTATCTTCAAGTAAAGGGTGAGGTGGAGAACTGCCTTGCATACTTAACAAGTAAAAGAGAAAACGATCCTTACAGGCAGCTATGGCCTCGTCTAGCTTATCAAGCTAAGCATGGCTTCACGTCTGAGGTTCCTACTTTTAAGTTCTGAGTGTTCCATGCTTGTTGGTGAAAAGCTGACCCTGATGGCCTATTTGGTGCTGTTCTTTTTCAGGTAAGAACTATAGTCCATGTCTGTTGTTATTAGGATTTTTTCATAGTGTTATTTTGTGGATGCAATTTTTATTCATTTCCTAGGAAAAGAAACAAGCCTTTAATGTGGAGACCTTGTATTCATCATCACTCTTGCTTTAACTGCAAAATAATCAGATATCATTGATTCTTAGTTATAGAAGAATTGACACAGGATGAAAGTTCCATGTCCCCTAATTTAGGGAATCATCATAATGGATTTGTAATCAAGGAATACTATATCCATTGGTTCGAGGCCTTTTGGGGAAGCCCAAAACAAAGCCAGGAGAGCTTAGGCTCAAAGTACATTATCATACCATTGACGAGAGTCGTGTTCATCTAACATGGTATCAGAGCCATGTCCTAAACTTAGCCATGTCAATAGAAATCTCAAATGTTGAACAAAGTATTGTGAGCTTCGAAGGCATAGTAAAAAATGATTAAGACTCCAAAAGAAAAGGAGTCTTGTCTTGATTAAGCGGAGGCGTACTTTGTTCGAAGGGAGGTGTTGGATGAAAGTCCCACATTCGACTAATTTAAGTGGACAATATCATACCATTGTGGAGAGTCGTGTTCATCTAACAGTTTGGATGGCTAGAAAACTGATTCTTTTTTACATTGTCTTCATAATAACTCAAAGAGCCGTAGGAAAAATCTTCCTTGGTAGCCATTATTCTCAGGTGATCGATGTGTAGGAGACCGAGAGCCTTTCATTCCCCTCTTTGGTAATGTCTTTGTAACAACCCAAACTCACTGCTCGTAGATATTATCCGCTTTGGCCCATTACGTATCACCGTTAGCCTCACAATTTTAAAACGTGTCTACTAGGAAGAGGTTTTCACATCCTTATAAGAAATGCTTATTTTCCCACTTTAACCAACATGGAATCTAACGGTCCACACCTCCCTTAGAGGCCCAACGTCCTCGCTCGCACCCTACGTTGTCTGGTTATGATACCATTTGTAATAGCTCAAACTCATCGCTAGTAAATATTGTCCGCTTTGACCCGTTACATATTGTCGTCAATCTTATAATTTTAAAATGCTTCTACCAGGGAGAGGTTTCACACTCTTATAAAAATACTTCGTCTTTCTCTCCAACCTACATGAGATCCGGCCTTTTAGTTGCTGAGCAACAAACACAATTATAAGGCCCGCAGCCCTTTTCCCTCTTTTGGTTTCTTCAGATATTTAAATTGATTTGCACTTCTAAAATTGAAGTAAAGTTGATTTAGTTCTATAATTCATTTTGAGATTTTTTTCTCTCTCTAGATCTATAGTTCATCAGGTTTAAATTTATAATGATCCAGTCTCAATCGTAAAATTATTATAAATAATAATTAAATTATGAACAAAAATATGTTTTTAAACTATAAAAATTAAATTATTATATAATTAAAGAAGCAACACTTAATTTTGAAGGAGAGTACCTAAATTAAATTATTATGAACTGAACTAAATCATTAATTTCATGAAAGTTTAAGAATTAAAATCGATTTTTAACCTAAAATATGAAGATTTCTTCTTAATATTGAAAACTGGATGAACAAATGTCTTAACTCTTAAGGTATGCTCGTGTTAACCTTAGAACTCGTATCAACTAAATATCTTTTCATTTAAACGTAACGAATACGGTTACCTTTTTACAAACAAAAGCCAATTTGGTCCCAAAATGAGAATCGTAAATCCACGGTCCAAGTGTAAATGAACTATTCCCATTTTGGGATGAAAATATTACATTATTTTGAATATTATGACGTAAAATATTTTAGAGACTTTACGTTTTAACCCATTGAGATAGAGCTAGACCTTGGTTCATACGAGCTTTTGTGTTTAAAACAAATGTCATTGCGTCAGTTTTCAGAAAGACCTACTAACACGAACGCTTGTTTGAACCAAATAAAATTGAACTAAAAAAAATAAAATCACTCATAGAATAGAAAGTTGGAAATATGAAATAAATACATAAATATATTTAAAAGAAAATGAGAAAACCATTAAAAAATATAACGAAATTAAAAAAAAATGGAAAAGTGAAAATATAGCATTCGATTCCATAGAGAGATCTTCTAATTGTCCTAACAGTTTCTCAACTTCAACCACTAAACAAAAACCGCCACGTGTCTTTAATATTCACATCTCTCCCACTAAACCAAAAAAAGGAAACGGACTCCGGTCCGCCGCCGTGGAATTCCAGAACCACCAAAACAAAAACAAACAGCCGCCGGAGAATCGTACGAGAGTACCGGAGATTTATAAGCGAAGAGTGAGATCGATGGTTACATGTTCAACGGCGGTATCGGCGTTCGGAGAGAGAGCATCCGGCGAGGCGGAGGCGGAGGCGGAGGCAGTGGTGGTGGTGTTAGCACTGTAGTGATTCTGATTAAACCAATGCTGGCCGAGAAAATCAGCCGGAGCCGGAGTCGGAGTCGGAGTCGGAGATGGAGCAACCGTGTAAGGCTGCGGAAGATGGTGGTGAGTCGTCGTCGTCGTCGGCGGCGGCGGCGGCGGAAGCGAACCGAGATGAAGAATTTCAGAGGCGAAAGCCTTACGAGAGGCGGCTCTTTCTCTCTTGTGAGCGTTTTGGTGGCCGCCTAGGGCTTGAGAAGTGTAAAATTTGCGAGGGCAGTAAAGGCATGGAAAAATGCGAGAGGAAGAGTATTGAGACTGGAACTTTCTGGAAGCTTTTGGTGCAGAATTTGAAGCGGTTGTTGTTTGGGTAAGGAAGTCGTAAATGGCTGGGTCCGCCATTGATGAGAGCTTTCAAAAACCAGAGAAAATGAGCTAACCACAACGATGGATAAACTGGGGATATATATATATATATATATATATATATATTTATATAAGAGAGCAAAACTGATTAGAGGAATGATATTACCAATGATTTGTTTATCTAGGTTGGACAATATTGCCCTCATAGATGTCTCCAATTGTTGGAGCAAAAGAGAGAATATCTCAATCGGGAGAGAGAATCGAGAAATATCATATTACCCAATATATCTGCCGAGCCAAGACGTGGTATATGTTAACCCCACAATGCATCTTGTCTGCTTTAACCCGTTACGTATCACTGTTAGCATACTATATCGTTTGGTGTCTGGCTATGATACCATTTGTAACCGTTCAAATCCTTAGCGCCCCTTGAAATCAACGTCCTCACTGGCACACCACATCGTCCGGTGCCCGACTACGATACCATTTGTAACAGCCCAAACCCTTAGCACCCTCCTTGGAAATCAACGTCCTCGTTAGCACACCACACCGTCTGGTGCTTGGCTCTGATACCATATGTAACATCTCACAATCCACCCCTTGAAGATCAAAGTCCACCGTCTGGGGTTTGACTCTGATATCATTTGTATCAACATCTCACAATCCACCCCCTTGGAAATCAACGTCCTCATAATGGTACCACTTTTACCCGTTATGTATCACCGATAGTCTCACGATTTTAAAACACGTCTACTAAGTAGAGGTTTCTGTTAGAAATCACGACTCTCGATAATAGTATGATATTGTCCACTTTGAGCATAAACTCCTGTGACTTTGTTTTGAGCTTCCCGAAAAATCTCATACCAATGGAAATGAATTCTTTACCTATAAACACATGATCATTCCCTAACTTAGTCAACAACAGTTTTCACACTCTTATAAGTAATGTTGATAGACTATATACTAGCCGAAAACTTAACCAAAGTCCACGGTTGGAAGGTTTAAATGAACCAAATACATAAATGGTCAAATAATATGTTGTAGAAATTGGAATTGAAATTAATATTTAAATTAGATTGGGTAAAAAAAAGTATATATAAATAAATAAGATTAAAAGTAATGGAGTAAATAGATTAAATTATAAATTGAAAACAAGAAGATGGGTAAAAGCAGTAGTAGTTTAAAGATGAAGGGCAAAAAGGGAAATAAGAAAGAATAGTTTGTTGAGGATTTGGATAAAAGGACAGGAAGTGGTAGCACTATCCAATCCAGTGCAGACAGAGCTATGTCCGACATCTACACACCAATAATAATAATAATAATAATAAATATTAACAAAATTTCTCAGTTTTATTTATTCGTTTCGAATCTCTAATAAATTTTCAAATGTTAAATTACAATTTTATCCATTGAATTCTTAAAAAAAAAAAAAAACGAATTTAATATTTGATTATTTTTTTAATTTGTTAAAATTTATGGTTTAATTAGTAAAAAAATTTCGGTAAAATCTGAAGATTAGGATTGTAATATGAAATATAAAAATATAAAAATAAAAAATGGAATTAGGGGTTAAATTGGAAAATCACTGTACAGCTGTAGTTTTGTGGAATGTACAGCGCAGCAGTTTCCAGTTGCGGTCACTGCGCTGTGCGACGGCACTGTAATTGGTTGGTTAAAAGCGCTTTTGCTTTGCATTTTAAATTTTATTCTTTAAAATAAATAAATAAAATGAACCTTTCTGTTACTGCAAATGCCAAATCCCAGTTTCTGTTTGTTTGTCGTAAGCGATCAAGGAATTTATAGTGAAACGTCATGTCGACTTGACCTTTAAATTATAACCAAATTTCAACTCAATTCAATACGTAATCTCTCTATATTATTATTATTACTATTTTTATTTTTAACTTTAAATTGTTCCAAAAAATTAATGGTGGGCCTTCTGATAGTACCCATTGGGCTCGGCCCATCTCCATAAGTTGGATTCGGTCCAGACTAATCTCTAAATGGGCCGCTTTGTTTGAAAGTATTTTCGGCCCAAATTGTCCCAAGAAATAGAACCCAACCATGGTTAATTGGAACCACAGGTTCTATTGAGAGTTTCCACATACAACACCTTAGGTTTAAATGATTTTTGAATTTTTTTTAGTGCATTTCCTTTATTTTAAATAATAGGTTACTAGATTTATATAATCGAAAATCACTCTGAAAACACCGAGAAAATATTTCAATGATTACTGAAGTCCCACGTTGACTAATTAAGAAGAAGATCATGAATACATCTGTAAGAGACATTTTCTCTATTTCCTCTGGACAGACCAAAAGAAAAGTAATGAAAACTTACATTCAAAATGGACAATATCAAATCAATATATAGGGTCGTTTCTATCTTTAGTATCAAACTAACTTAGGCTTTCTCGAGAGAACCAATAGGCCCACGTAGGTGGGTTCAAGACAATATCAAACCAAGATATGAGGTTGTTATTCCTATCTTTGGTACCAGACTGACTTAGGCTTTCTCGAGAGCCCCAATAGGCCCACGTAGTGTGTTCAAGACAATATCAAACCAATATATAAGGTTGTTATTTGGGCTCTCGCGAGAGCACCAACAGGCACACGTAGGTGGATTCTCTCTTATTTTCGAGCTTTTCAACAAACAAAATCAAAAGACAACATTCTGGAACTTCAAAAGCCTCTTTCTTTCGTGCTCGAGAGAGAACCCAAAGATATACCCATACTTTTATCTTAACTTAATCACGTCAATAGAATCCTCTACTTCATTATTCGAGGGATTGGTGGAGTTGCACACTAATAAATAAAGAACACTATCTTCATCGATATGTATTTTTACTGTCATGCACATTTGTTCATTGATAAATTTACATTCATAACTTAAGAGATTTTCATTAATTTTGTTTTCCAGTTGAAGTTGTCTGGTTGGAACAATGGCAGAGCAAGGGAGAGGTAAGAACCTTGTTCAACATGGAGGAGATAAAATACAGAGGATGATGGGAAGTGGGTTAAGCCATTTTTGAAATGGAAATGTCAGAAAACACAGTAAATATGTACACTAAGGGGTATGTTAGAGAAGAACAAACCTTGCCTTGGCTGGAGCTTGGGAGAAGAACATGTCAGCTGATGCTGAAGTATCTGGGATCATCTGGAAAATGGTACTCCACCTTCAACTGTCATCACAAATTAGAGCAAAAAGAATGAACAAACAGCATATGTATGCAGCTTCAAGCTGAATCCGCGCGCGCGTGTGTGTGTGTCGAGATGCAAAACGACGTAGATAAATGGAGGAGGCTACTGGTTAACCATTATTACCTTGCCCTCATCGGAATCTGAATGGCGTTGAGGGAAGACGACCCGCATGTCGTTGTATAGATAGAATTTTCTTTCACCATCTGTATCCAGGTTAGGCTTGTTTTGCTCGGAGACTGGCTCGGATTTGGATTTCCGAGATGATCTAGAAGATTTTTTTGGTAATGGACAAAGGAAACGGAGGTGAAGAGCGTAGCGGAGAGCGCCAGCAGGATTCTCATTGACCTTCAGTTTCTTGTCATTTTCACAGCAATTATCAACCCAGCAGCCATCCTTCTGATCAGGCCCCCTCTGGTACTGATTCTCAACACCTAGAGAAGTAGCATCTGTCTTTTGGTTATCGAAAAACCGCTCTGACCCGTCCCCGTTATCAGAGCCTTCTCTTCGTCTGTTTCCATTTTTCGCACTGTCCCTTTCGTGTCCAGTAATAATTCCATTGGTTTCTGTAATGTTCTTGCTAGCCACATCGGTATCACCTTTTTGGGAAGCTAATATCGAATTATCCGCCATTTTATTGTCGTGGTCGACCTTCCCTTCTTTCGACTGCATAGAAGCTGAATTGGAGGAAGCTAGAGTTCCCTTCTGGCGCAAGAAGGTCTAGTTTTCAGAACACAGAAAACACGAACAAAATTAGACAGTCGTACAAAAAGAAAAAACATCAAAAACATCAGTTCGATATCGAACACTACAGAGCGGTGATGATAAATGAAAACGAAAAGCAGCATTGAGGTTAATATTCACCACCTTAGTGCCAGCAGGCATGTCGCTCAAATCGTAATTGCAGAGAAACGTGTGCAATGGAGTCTTCTCAGGATTGCTGAGAACCTGTGAAAAAGAAACTAAATCATACAGATCGTTCTTTACTCGCATATGCTCATTTAATTGCAGCCAAGTTACGTATCGAATGCATAATGTGCACAACTTTGCATTACACTTTAGATATTACATCAATCAAGCACTAAGGAAACGTGCAATTTGATTCGTATCTCGACAGAAAAGGACCAACCAACTTACCAGTTGAACACGCCCTTTCATAGGAACCCGAAGACGGCTCTTCACCGTTTGCAACTCATCGTTGCTCGGAACCTGTTTGGATTTCTTATCTCTATATTTGTTTAGTAAGGAACTTTTAGCAAGATCAATGGATGCATAATATAGTAAGAAGCGATCTCCATCCACACTTGCTACTGAAAATGGCAGCTTCTGGGAATGTGGTGAGAAGTTCCCTCCAGTAATGCTTAGAACAGCCAGAAAACCATCAATTTGCTGTGTATATAATGCATGAGTAACAAGTAATCAAGTCAAGAACAAAATCTTATACATCAATTCAGAACTGGAATTATGCAGCAGAATACTAACCTGACACGGTTTGCCAGATAAGAATCGACCGGATAATAATGACTCCTCGAATGAACCAACCAACGATCTCCTTACAGAAAGTCCACTCAAACTTCTAACAAAGCGCATGCTCCGGGAAGTAGGGACCGAATCCTGAGACATAATCCAACGAGCACTCTTGGAACATTCCAAGGAGGATGGTCGAAACTCTTTCGCCAAAATAACATCTTCAAACGATTTCATTTCCTCTTCATAAGATTTTTCGATATCGCCAAGAAGTGAATGATAACCGACATTCTCTTTCTTGATGTTTCTGCATCGTCCTGCATTTTTCATTCTCTCTGAAATCTTTGGACCAAGAGGTGACAGAGAAAGAGGTCCCATAGACACCATCTCAGGAGATAGACTTCCAGAATCGTCGTGGGTTCTTATGCAACTCAACTTACTGAGTTCATCGTGACCTGGACAAGATAAAATGTTGTCCCGAGCAAGAGAGTTCTTATTTTCTACACTTAAAACGACTGATTTCACAACACCACTGTCATACAGCAATTTTTTCTGTTCTAATAAGCCTGCTAGAGATCGGGTTTGCAAGGTAAAATCATTTTTGCTTCCAACATGAGCTTTCTTGAAATCATGGACAGCAGCAGCAGTTCTTGAGTTTTCAGATATCGAGGAATCGGTTTTTCTGCTATCAATGTCCAACGGGTCACCCTTAAACTGGTCTGGAAAAAGCATGCTGCTCAGTGGAGATAACAGCCGCTTTCTGACTGCTGAACCACTTGATTCATGTTCATTGATCCTAATCTCGGCTACCTTTTCATCCTTTCTAGAACTAGTTTCCCCCGACACGAATCCCACTATCCTAGCAACAGGCTTATGGCTCTCTCGTCCACATTTAGAGTTAAGCCAGCAACCATCATCCATAGACCCAATTTTCGGTCCATGATAATTGGAAGCGTTTTCAAATCCCCCACCAACCGTAGCCAAGTTCCCACGAAAATTTGGAAGCTCCATGTAGAAGTTTCTCTCGGAATCCCCGGAGGAAGAGTACGGTGTACTCTCATCACACCTGCTCGAGCCTCCATTACAGCTTCCAGCCAAATTGCAGGAACTCACATCGTTAAAACATGGAGGACTCTGCAGAAACATGCTCAATGAGCCTGCTGGTACCTCCTCAGTTTTCGCACTGATGGGGACTTGTGGCAACCCCATGGTCGATCTTTCCAGAAACTAACTCGTATATTTCAAATAGGACTTCACTCAGGTTCCTTCTCTTTTTTCAATTACATATATAATTTTTCTTTCCTTCCGAGTGCATGTTGAGGGAGCCTTACTCTACCGAGGTTTCTAATGGACGATCATCTACCTTAAAGCACTACAGTTTTAAATTCTTAACTACTGATGCTTATTTGTACCCTGATGAAAGAAGAACAACCAAACAATTACAATTCCGAGATCTAAATATAAGCCAATGCTATGTATCTTCCAAATGTATCCATGATCTAGCCATACCCTCATCCATGCTCATGGAGTTTGTCATAAACAAAATCAAGCAGATGTGGGATATCCAAAGTTCATAATGAGCAAAGTTCTTCCGACCTCCATTCAAATCGACATCCAAAGACATACAATTCGTCATTGCCAACGGAACGAGTAAGCACCCCTGAAAATGATATGAACAATGATTAGTCCCTTTGTCAAAATCTAACACATTCACTTTAACCTTGCATCTCTATAGCAGCACAAATTTTTTTCTGTGTAATTAATGGTTATAACTGATAAGATGATCGTCGCGTTCTTCGATACTCATCAAGATATGATCTACTGGAAGAATGTGGGACAAAATGCAGAATTCACCATATATGAACACAATGGAAGAACTAGAGACGGTACAGCAAAAAGAAACAAATTCACAACCCCTCCATTACACCAAAACAAAGCATTTCTTGAGTAAAGATCTACACGAGATTGTCCATTTCATAAATAAACACCAACTCAAAAAGCAGAATCGAACAACCAAAACGTCTAACAGGAAGATGATTCGAAAAAGGAGCAGTTACTTGTACGATATCCATAATCCATTCAACGCAATAACATTATTTCTCTGTTCCTCTTCTTAAAACTATTCCATCCTTCAGTGATTAAGAAGAAACACAGCCAGAAAAAGGGAACCACGAAGGAAATTTCCATCAAAACTCAAAAGTCTAAAACCACAGCTCCTCAGCAGCACACATAAATGACCAAACAAAAACTAAAAACAAAGTTATCAGAAGCTCGATCACCCAAAATCATGAACAGAAACAAAAACTTAACGTTTCAGTAAGAGAAAATCGAAACAAAACATCTCGAGTAAAAGACGCACCAATTAGCTGTCGGGTGAAAGAATCCAGGAGAAAAATCATCTCCGAACCAAAAATCAACACCTCCAGATCGAGAATCCCGATTATTCACCGATTAAACAGAAGAACAGCAAGAAATGGGAGAGAAAATGGAGGAGGGAAAGGGAAAAGGGGGTGTTCAACTGGAAATGGTGATGGAAGAGGAGAAGACGGAAGAAGTGATAATGGGTATTAGGCGAAAGGGAAAATGAGTTCAATTTTGTTCTCTCTCCCATGTTTATAATCCCAAAACACGCCATCGTCATCTCATCACCATCATCGCCCCATCCCAACTTTGCCACCGCCATTTCTTAGGCTCTAATATTCTTACAAATCCCATTTCTTTTATCTCTCTACTTTTATTTTAAATTAAAATACTTTTTTTTATTTGCCTATATTTTCGTATAAATGTTCAAATTTATTTCTTTTTTTAATTTTTTTTATCAATATTAATTAAATAATAATTATTGATATGTAGTTTCAAATGAGGTAGTTCGTCCAACACGATAGATAGTGCTCAACCCGAACTTCAATTAATATTAAATTCGATACAATATTGAGACAAGCTAAAGTAATATAACGTACCTTTTTAAATGAATGACTTCCATCATTTATAAGGGAGCAAGTTTTCGAAACTTATGTGTTGTGTTTCTAGTCATCGGGTAAATTCTCCGCTAATATTGTCTTTATATTTAGGTCACCGTACTAAACGAGCTTATGTTCCATGTGTCTAACTAAAATTTGTTCATTTTCACCTCGTGGGATCATGAATTAGGCTCAAATATAGGCACTTTCAAAAAAAAAAAACTTTATAAAAATATGAAGATTAATTTTTTTGAATTTTTAAAATGATAAATTATTTACTTATTTATATTTTATTTTTATTAAAAAATAAAAAAAACAACTTTGACTTCATTATTTAATTTAAATTTTTATACTAACTTTCCTAATTAATAATTAATTACGTGTAAGATAAATTATAAATTGTGATTTTTTTATAATAAAAATAAAATTCATTTTGAGTGTTTTTGGAGATTTTCAAAGGCTTATAATTGATTTGGGTCAATTTGACGGATGAGACCATTTATTTGTTTCAGTGGGGTGGGTAACTCTATTTCACATGGTCCTTTTACTTTTTTACCCTTTCAATAATAATACATTAAATCACAAAAAAAAAAAAAAATTGTAGCTTTTCATTTTTTTTAAAATATTTTTATTTTAATTTATCGTCACATTAATTTTCTTCTAAATTTATTACCATTTTTATATCTCAAGAATAATTTAAAAAGTGAAAGATAATATTATTTTAAAAATAATAACATATTAATTTTTATGTCCAAATAATATAAACAAATAATAAGGTAATAGGACTTTCTTTTCAGCTCCTATTAAGTAAAATATAAAATAATATATTAAAAATTTATTAGACACAAAATTTAAAAAAATTATAAATTTATTATATATTTTAAAAATAGACTTTTTTTTTTTTTAATAAATTTGTAATTTCGCCGTTTTTAATATAAATATTTTATATATTTTTTTTAATAAAAAAAATTATTTTTAATCTTATTCAAACCCGTAAATAGAATTAATTTGAAGGAGCAGAGCATTTAGGTGGATGGTCGTCATAATAAATGAACAAATAGCCCAAAAGATTGACACATTCCATTGATGTCTTTTTCTTTTTTCTTTTTTATTTTCTAAATTATTATTTGTTTATAACAGCTAAATTGATTAAGACATTTGTATATTAATTATCTTATATAAAATAATTTAATTAATAAATAAATTGGTTTCACTTTTGAATATATTATGACTGGCATCTAAAAAAACCGATGAATGATATTTATTTATATTTTTTATTAGTCCTAAAATATCATATCGAACCCTTTAATTTCGAATTATTTCATAGTATATATAACAGAATAATTATATAAATTAGACCAAATTATAAATTCAATTTTTCAATGTTTTCAATGTTTCAATGTCTAATAAATTTAATATTTTTTAAATTAACCTGTCTACTCGACATAAATATTGAATTTCATGTCTAATAATTTCATGAATTAAAAAAAATGTTAATTACAACATTAGTAGTGTGTATTCAATCATTTGGCTTTTCAAAATTTAAATGTTCGTAAACCTTCAACAGAAAATTGAAAATAAATTTATATTCACTGAATCGATTAAAATATTTTAAAATTTTAGAATTTGTCAGCACCAATCCATCAATCATCAAACATAAACTTCAAAATTTAGCGACTAAATTTGTAATCAACGATTTAAAAAAAATACTGGGACACAAAATTAAGAATTCTAAGTATCTTAGATTTATTAAACTCAAAAGCGAAAAAGAAAATAAAAAATTTAACTATATGTTGCAATTTTTTTAAAAAAAAGAATTCAATAGCATATATCTCAAGGTTTAGGGATAATTCAACGTATTAATTAAAAGAAGAAAAAAAAAAGGAATATTTTAATTATTTTCTGACCATAAAATGAAAGAGGGAAAATAAACAAAAGAATTAAAACTACTTTTGAAGTTGAAACCACTTACAAAAGAAGCACCTTGTTTCTCTTCGTATTTGTTTAAGCCTTTTTCTTTTGCTTTATCCTTTTTATAAATTAGTTAAAAGGCCAATTGTGTCTTTTCCATCATTTGGTATATGTTTTAGTACATGTCCGCATCTCGAGTTTAATATTTTAGTCTCAATATAATTTCAATAAAAATTTTAATTTATTGTTAAAACTTTTAAAAAGAAAAAAAAAAGTGTCTATTAGCATTTTTTTTAAATACATTTTAGAAATATATTTCTATTGTGTTTTGGAAATTATTAAATTTAAATATTATTCTTGTCTTTATATAACTTGAGCGCATTAATACACATACTAAAATTAATTTGATAAAAATGGAATAAAAGGATAATATATATATATTTTTTTTTTTGTTTGAATTTTTTTTTATAAAGTTCAATAAATATAAAACTTTTAACCTTTTATAGTTAAAATAAATAAATATTTTACTGACAAAGTGGTAAAACAATGTCACCCAGTTGTCATATTAGGCACAGTTCTTTTGTGTGTCTTTTGATGCAAATGCCTCCCTCATGCCTCTACCTCCTCGTCATGGACTTTTTATTTTTCACAGCCTATGACCCATCTCCTTCCTCCCATTGCACATCAAAATCAAAATACTTTTTTTTAACTTTTAACCTACAATCAAATTTTCCTTGGCCTCACTCACTTGAAGATTCGAATATGCAATGAGTAAATGTTAAAACCCGAGACCTTACCCACGACAGTACCCTTTTTAAATTCATGGATCTACTCGGTCATAATGAACACAAAATTCAATTTTAAATTTAATATAATAAATTTTTTAAAAAAAATTTAATATATCCTAGACCTGTAAAACACAAAATTAGAAGTTGAATGATCTCTTAGATTCAAAATTAAAAGTTCAGAAATTATTTATTAAATACTTTGAAAGTTTAGAGACCAAATAGACACCATCTTGAAAGTTTAAATACTAAATTTGTTTGTAACGGCCATGTCTATCGCTAACAGATATTCTTCTCTTTGGCCTTTCCCTTTTAAGCTTCCCCTCGTGGCTTTAAAACACATCGGAGAAGAAGATTTCCACATGGTGGTTTGTTCCCCTTCCCAATCAATGTAGGACATCACAATCAAACTAAAGTTGTAATTTAACCATAAATTTACGGTTCCACCCCAGTTAGAGATGCAGGCAACTATAAGAATTGTAAGGATACATACCTCCAAAGCCGTGTCTTCGGTTGCGACAGCATTGAAGTCATCATATCCTAAATTACTCGCTAGTTCTCCGAGGCATGAGATTTTAGAAACCAGAATATGCACGAAACCTTGAATATTGCAAGTGTGGGAAGGATCAGGATCACATACTTTGGAGTGATATTGGAGCATCAGCCGTGGCATAGCCATCTTGTAATTTTTGGTTCTGGGAAGTTATTTGACCCAGCACCTGCGTTATACACAAGATTAGCCAAAGGAATGAAGGATGTCTATGGATTGAGATCAATCCAACGAGAAAGGTGAGATTCAAAACCTCAATATAATATCTAGGACTCGTCTCAAAGCTTCAAAAATTATAGAATAATAATTTCCTAAAACGTCTTTATAAATAAGTGTTGTTTGAAAATTGTGATAAAAAAATGAAATTATTCTTCAATTCAAATTCATAATTTGAAAATAGGAAATTAAAGTGTAAAATAAATCTTATCTTATACCGAACAAAATATTATTTATAAGGGTGTGGAAACTTCTCTCTAACAAACGTGTTTTTAAACTTTGAGAGGAAGCCTGAAAAGAAAAACCCAAAGAGAACAATATATGTTAATAGTGGGTTTGAGTTGTTATAAATGGTATCAGAGCTAGACATTGAGCGGTGTGCCAATGAGGATGCTGAGCCCCAAAGGGGGTGGACACCGGGCGGTGTGCTAGTGAAAAAGCTGGACACCGAAGGGGGAGTGGATTGTGAGATCCCACATCGATTGAACAGGAGAACAAACATTATTTTACAAGGGTGTGGAAATCTCTCTAAAGCAAAAGCGTTTTAGATCCTTGAGGGGAAGCTCGAAAGAAAAAGTCATCAGTCAGTGGTTAGTGGTTGGCCTTTTTACAAGAACTATGTTGGAAACCACATTCAAGTTCAACCAAACCGTTAATTACCTCAGCATAAGATCCAGTTGGATATATCAAATACTGGAGTTGGCTTTGATCTTCAGCAAATTCCTCTGCTATCATCTGCAGGGGTAAATAAATCCACAACGTTATGCTATGCCTCAAAAGCGCCCTGCATGCGAAATGATATCCAAGAGCAACGTGAGCATAAGCAATTTGAACACATCCTTAACTACGAGGAAATTTTTCCATGAAGAATATGTGCACTAAAACAGTAAAAATTAAGCATTGAACATTCATACAGATTAGTATATCTCTGAACGGGCACCATTTCCAGCACACACAACTAGTCGACCCATAGAAGATAGTTGTCTTAACTCTTCAGTTTGGAACAAAATGGCATGTCAGGTACCTGTGGCTGTTACTAGTATGTATTGAGCATTATATGAAAGATGTATTTGTTAGAAATCACAACGCTCCTCAATGGTATGACATTGTCTACTTTGAGCATAAGCTCTCATAGAGGCTTTTAGTTTCCCCAAAGAACCCCTCGTACCAATGGAGATGTATTCCTTGCTTATAAACCTATGATCATTCTCTTAATTAGCCAATGTGAGACTCCCCCAACAATCCTCAACAATATTGCCAAAC